TTCACATATCAAAGTGGAGTGGTCATGAAAGACAAATTCCAACAAAGTTCAGCATCTGCAGGTATTCTGGCAGTGTGCCACTGTAGAATTAAATCAGATTTTGGTCAATTAAGGAGACAAAAGTCCCTTGCTTTTCATTCCTTTCCCCCAAAATTTGTTTTCATAGTTCTGTTTATAAGTAGGATTATGTGACTTTTTTTCTGAATAAATCAGACAAGACAAAAAATCTCTGTGCCCTTCCAACATGTTGCATATTACTAGTGGATTTTATGGAAGACATTCCAGTATTACCTCCTGGTGACAAATCCATTAAAAAAAAGTAGTTGGGTTTTGAGGGAGGTGTGTGTGTTTTGGGTTTGTTTTTTTTAAATTCTGATATATTTAACAGTTCAAACTGCATGTAGTTTGGGAAACTTGAACGAAAACTCTACTGTTCCCCTGAATTTCAGAAATCTCACCAGGAGGATTGCTGGAAGCAATTACTTTGTTTTCATAAAATGCCTTCCCCCTCTGAAGCCAAATCCTGCACACTGAAAACAGGCTTCATGACCAGATAGAAACCTTATGTGAAGACCCAGCATAGGTCTTCACTATGAAGAACACACTGAATGTTATCACCTGCACTGAGCCTGCTAGAAAGCAGATCTGTTCAGGGCAGAAAGTTCAACAGTTTAAAACAGATGTAGTAAGCATATGGGCTTTTTATAATCTTGATTTAAGTATAAACTAAAACTTGGTTTGGAAACAACTCCTCATTTCAGCTTATGTCTATAGTCTCTTCTATGTACCCATCAAGAAAAATCAGAATATTAACTGAAGGAAAGAACCCTAATAATCTTTTATAGATTATGCCTTACCAAAGCTTTTATGTTTTGGGTTTTTTACAGTATTAAAGTACAGATAGGCTGGAGATTCTTCTTGTCACAATAAGGATCTTTGTTACATAGAGACAGGAATGTGAATTCTTAAACCAAAAATATAAAACCAACCCACCAGTAAGCAAGTTAATTTTAAGGGAATATTCTCTTGAATTATAAAAGCTGTGCAGAAAAAAAAAAATGCAGTTTCCTGAGGCATCCAACTTCATTTATACAGGCTCATTTACTATGTCAATTCAAATGCAAGAGTAACTCATTTAGCTGTGCTATTAACTCTTACTGCGTATAAGGCTGTATGATGACAGCCAGAGTCCCATGAAATTAAGCAGGACAATAGAAGGGCAATATTAGATGGTATGACCACGTACGATCTCATCAATACATCAATAGGTTTAGTCACGCTTTTTGTCATGAGAGGGTAAGCCACCCATTTCAGCATTAAATGGCTGTCACTTTTACCTTGCAAGCTTATCCTATGCCGTTCCATTGGAAAGATCTCTGAATGAAGTCGCAGCATTTGGCTTATTTATTCAAAGTCAGAAATCCTATAAAGAGAGCAGGAAAATCTGAATCGAATACACTAAAATATGTTAGGCTAATGTTCTTTTGTTACAAATTATTTCTCAAGTGCTGCCTGAAAATGGCATTGTATGCTGAGTGTGCACAAATTATACATAAATAACATACCCTTGGAGTTGCATGCACATTAAAGCCAAGTTAATTTGTTGTATTTCATATTTCAAGAAGTAATCTTTGTGTCATAGAAACTAGAGATGGGAGTGATCTGTGAGATCATCTTATCCACCCTACTATTTGCAAGTCTGGAGATCATCTTATCCACCCTACTGTTAATGCAAGTCTGTTCCCTGAAGAATATTCTTAAGTGTTTCAGCTTGTCTAGTTTTACACGACTGTAACTGTGGAGCTTCAAGTCCATTGGGGGGCTGGGGTATAGCATGATTGTTAAGTGTATTTCTCTAACACTCAACCCTAAAATTTTTATTTCTGAAAGGCATTCTGCTATTTCTAGTTATACTATCTTGGAACTACCTACAGTTCTGGGAACCATTAAAATCCTAATCAGTTCTTCCCTGTCCTTCATTTTGCATAATTTTAAATACAGAGTCATCACGTTCTCCCTGTCCCTTGTGTTTTCTTGTAGCCAAGAATGACATAGTTCTCTTAATTTTTCCTTACAAACCAATTCTTCTAGTACAAAATAATTTTTGCTTTGCTCAAAAATCCCTCTAACCTGTTTAATAGTTTGTGAGGTCTACAAAAACAAGACTAAATTTCAAGGCTTTGTAGAGGCTTTATTTCTTTTCATGTTCTGTGTGTGCACTTACGGTTTGTGATTCAGGGATCCTATTATGTACTCAGTTTCTACTTGCTGTGAGCCTAAAATTCACTGATACCACTAAGACATCTAAAATACCATCCAGCCATCTTGAAGCCTTTATGTGCTATTACGGCTTTCTGGGTATTTCCTATCAGTTCAATGTCATACTTTTTTTTTAATTATTATTTTCTTTTTTTGGTGTGTGTATTCATTTAATCTTCTCTTTCTATGGACTTATTCTTCAATGTGCTGAACACCAGAACCTTTGAAACCAAGCATAAGCTTAATTTTCAAGTGGGCCAAAGGGAACAGCAGTCCTCCAGCTCAAACTTTGAAGGTTGTTTATGTTTCTCTCCTCAATTATTTTAACAACCTTTTGATTTTTGTACTAGTTGTTTTATTTAACTCCAGTACTCTTCACTCTCATTTCAGCTTGTGACTAAATGGAGTACTAGGTTACATAAGAGTCCAAGACATGTAATAGGATTCTTCTTTCCAAGCAGGAAATTTTTCTTCAGTAGCGTTGTTTGCAGTTTTTACTTGATTTTTGGCTCATACTTGTCTCAGACCCGCTAAAAGTGGAAAATTTTGTAAATAGATTATGTGAAACAATATAAAATTTGGCAAAACCTTCCTGTTGCCTTTACAGCATTTCTGTTCAAACAGCTAGCTGAAGTTTCTCTGCAGGTAGCAGTACATGCCCTCAAATGATACACTGGTTTAATCAAATGCCTGTTTTCTGGTTGCAAGAATAGAACTCTAATCCTCTTTTCTTTAGTCTAAATTCAATTGTTTTATTTGTCATCTTGAATAAATTGCTTCTGACTGAAATCTTGAATTTTTCCTTGCCTGAGATCCTGATACTGTTTGTAAGTATTTGACTAAGATATATTGTGCCTATCTGTGCCTAATGAAGCACTAACCGGACTAAATGATGAATGGCAGTTTAATCAATTCAGTTCATTTGGTAACCAGCAGAAGCATATGGAACATAAATTTTAACCTCTCTTTTATAAACACTTGAATTATTCTAAAATTTGACCAGAACTGTGCTTTCCAAGGTTTTCCTCTACTTTCAATGCCTAAGGAGAAACTTTGCTTAATATATCTGTGCTTTGGGACATAGAATTAGAAAATAGTGATGTAAGTTTAATTTTCTTCTTCAAGAAATTTGACTATTAACTCTCATTGTCCTGGAACGTGAAATTATTTCATTATTCAGTAGTGGCCAAAGCCTTCAGAGATGAGGAAAACATGGGCTGTCTGCCGATAATCTTAGTTAAGTGGTATCTATACATACTCAGCCCCAGCCTTAATGAAAATATGCAATCCATTTTCATTAAGTTGTTTTATTCTAGAACCACTTCCTCACCAATATATGCACACATATCCCTAAAATTAAATGCTGCTTTCTGAATGCATCATCACGGTGCATAAGCAATGAAAAGGTATGTAATTACTATGTTCTAAATAATTTACTTCTAAAAACAAAGTTAAATTAGAGGTTATTGCTGGGATTTTCTGACGCACAAACACAACTCTCAGTTTCAGGGAGAGGTGGTACTGTAGTTAGTTTTGCAAATTCTTGGTTCATTTTGATATATATTTTGGGTTATTGAATTGGCATTTGTTTTGGGTGAAGATTTTTTTTGTGTGGTTACTTACACAGACGTGTTTATACAGCAGACGTAGGTGTTTGCATGCGGAAGTTGTAGAAAAATGTAATTGAACAAGTTAAAATATACAATCAAATTCTGCATCCTATTGGTAGCCAAGGGGGATGTTTTCCCTTAAAATTATTTTTCCTGAGGGAACAAGCAACTCTTGAGCTTTCTTCATCCAGAAAAGATGCAAATGCAAGTTTGTAATTTGTTTTGCTTTTCAGATGCAGGAAGTGCACAGGCTATCTGAAATTTGAGTTAGAGTCACAGAAACTTTCCTCAACTTTTGAGAATCCATTCTTCGTGCTGTAGTTAGTATGTCTCTCATATTTTTGCCCTCTGATTTCCCAGTTCTTCTGCCAGTGGCTTAACTGAGTGGGATGAGGGAAACTCATGTGAAGTACCTTTTGTGAGAGACCAGGGACAGGAGCTGTAATGAGGTGGCTGTCGTGGTGGGGAGAGGAGGGAGCTTGTGACTGCTCAGCCCATTGCAGCACCTCTCAGCCAGAGCTTCTGGGGGATGGGGTCAGCAGCCCCTCAGAGCTATATGCTTTGAGCTTCCTTCTCTTATGCTGGAAGAGGGGAGAAGAAAGCCCAAGCAAGCCCATCCCAGAAGTCATCTGCATTTGGGCAGTAGCTTAGTTCAGTGGCTGTGAGCGGCCACGTGCCCTTTTCCTTTTTACTCTTTTTTTTCCAGATTTTCTTCCCCTGCCAAGCCCTTCCAGTGTGCCTCCATGACGTAGTCCTGTCCCTATTCAGCTTCTCCCAAAGGCGCTCTCTCACTGCCATTCCCACATCCCCAGAATTTATTTGGGAGCATGAGTATGCTGCTTGGGTAGTACTCATACAAACAGAGAGCAGCTGCTGTGTCTTTATTGGTCTCAACAGCTACCATCCATATTCCTGCTACCTCCACACTTGCCTTCAAACACCTGAGAAGTATTCATATGTATACACTGGTTTTAGTAAATGCACATGTTTGTCCTTCAGCCTGGTGTTGATTTAAAAAAAAAATAAATTATATAAATACTGGTGATGGATACAAAAGCATTGTTGCTGGCCATTTAATCTAGAAGAAATCTTCCTAACATTGCATACTTTCTTTTTTTTTTTCCTCTGTAGGGGAGTGGGTTGTATCTTTGTAGAAATGATTCAAGGGGTCGCTGCTTTTCCAGGAATGAAAGACATTCAGGATCAACTTGAAAGGATATTTCTGGTGAGTTCTTTATTGCTGAAGTAATGTGCCTAAGACAACAATGGATTGATTGATAAACGTTCACATATTTCTTTGTGTCAAGAATTAAATTACTGATAGAGCCAAGGATCAGAAGCCTAGTCCACAAGCTAGATACGGTTTACTCGATATATTCTTGAAGACTGTGTAATAAGTTCAGATCCTAATTTTTTCAATTAATATTTTTCAAGTAATCTACAGAAAGGTTTTTATACAACTGTAGAAAAAAGCTTTCCAAATGTAAGGCAATGGAAATCCAGCCAGTTTGTCATCCTCACTTTGCACATGATCAAAAATGACAACTCTGGTTGGTGCTCTATTAATATTATGCTAATATTGTATTGTCAATGTCAAGTATTTTTTGTGAGATAGACATATAAAGGAATAGTAAGATAGGAAAAGAGGTGAGAAACAGAATGGGAAATCAGAAATCATGCTTATACTCAAGTTCAAAAGGAGTCCTTGACTACTGCTTCTGCAGCCTGGTTGGGCCCTTCATAAGGTGTATGGGTAGCTCACAGACACTGATGACACACCCACACTGGGAGTGAAAGAAGAGGTAATTTATATCAAGCATAAACCATCATTTACACATTTTTCTTTCCAGGGTGTTCTGGTTTTTTGGTTGTTGTTTTTGGGGGGTTTTTTAAACTTACTCTTTCTCCCATTGTGCTCTGGGTCTGGCAGTTCCCTTTCAAAAGGCTCAGGAACAACTCTTCTTGACTCCCCGATAAAGGGTTTCATTTACTCCGATGCCTGCTGGGACCTGTGCTGTTGTGGAGTGGGTTTATTCAGGGAAGCCACTGCTCACCCAGATACTAGCCAAAGTGGCTCCTGGTACTGTGGGGTGGCTATCAGGGAAAGTATCACAAGAGCAGCTTCTTCCCTCAACCTGGCAATCTCTGTTTTGCTTCTGACCACAAATTTAGAAGGGAAGCTTGAGCATACCCTTGCTTTTAAAGGTTATTTTGTTAGTAGCCATTTATTTCAAATGCAGAGGATTTATTTGGGATTCTTTTTTGGCCCATGGAGAGAGAAAGAAAGTCTTTCAAAATGTGTTTATAAAATGTACATTCTTCATTTTACTCAGACTTGCTTGTACTATATCTCTTTTGTTGGGACATCAGGGAATTTAGCAACTGCTTTTAGGAATGACTCAGAAAAAAATATCTCTCTAAAACAAGGCCTTATTTGATTGTGATATAAAAATATCTCATTTTCTGTAAAATATTCTGTTATTCTGCCCACTTGGCTAATACCCTGAAAATTCTGTGCTGTGGAAAAATAACTGTGCCGCAACGTACATAAGGAGCAGCAGTTCTGAGCAGTTCCTGTGATGTGTCTAATTGCTTCACTTGTTTGCCAGCTTGTGTGTTTTAAGCTAGCAACTTCTAGGCCAGTTTTAGGGTTTTGCTTTCTTAAATTATTAAGCTTCTCATTTATTGGGATGAAATTTCCTCCTTATTTATAGAACATGAAATTTTGAAAACAATAAATTCTTCTTTGGGGCTTCATCTCATTTATTGTGGTAAAATTTTAGTGAGTGTTTTTGCTATGGAAATTAAGTAGACTTCTAACAGCAGAAATCAGTGCTTCCTTTAATGGGGCCTTTTTGCACTATATCATATGAGACCATATGAGATCATATGATATAGTGCAAAAAGTGATAGTGATAGGCATATCATATAAACCTACTTTTGTATGCCTTTTGTAAACCTTTTGTATATTCCCATTTTCTTTTATCTTCCCTATCCTCGCAATTATTTGTGTGTTAAAATACCAAGATAAATACACCCCAGGATGAGTTTTGAGGCCTGCCAATTTTTTTAAATTCTGTTTTAAAACTGCAGCTGCAAATATTGAGAACAATGTTGAAATAACAAGGGATAATTTATTGATACTGTTTCTTTAATTTGATCTTTTACAAACCTTCAAATAAAAAGATAAAATTTTGGACCGGATAGTTTTATGGTCCGTTGTAAATCAGGGTTAATTTTTAAATCCCGATTAATTAGGCTTTCTAATGGAAGTGTCTAGTTACCCTTAGCTAAACAGTTTCAGTGAATGCCTTCCTAATGTACTCTAAGCATCATTAAGAATTTAAGTTATCTATTTAGAAGTTATAAAACAAAGGATTATTCTTGTTTGGTTTTGTATTTGAACAGAAGGATTAAATATATTCATTCTCCAGTGAATCATATATAGTGTGGTAGTTAATAGCACTGAAGTACAAAATTAATCAGGTTGTTACACCAGATAACCAATACAATTAATACACAGTGAGCGCTTACACAGGTGTGAAAGAAACAGATCAACCAATAAAAGACTTTTTCCACAAAGTCTTCCCGTAGTTCACATTTTCAACATCCAACAGTGATGGTTTTCTTGTAACAAAGGGTAGTCTTCTGAAAATGGTGTATGGTACACTCCACCTTCACACTCATTCTTTTGTTCTGTAGTCCTCTTCTAAAATACACAACTTGCAACAAAAGGTATATTAATCTGTGTCGTATCTGTTGCCGTTGTTATTAGTCCACATCCATAGCACATAAGAGTCCAGGTTGCAGCTTGAGGCTTTTAGGGAATCAGTTACATTGTAGTAGGAAAGTCACAAAATGCTAAGAAGTAATAATCAGGAAAAGTGAACAAAATTTAATGTGACTAACAGTTTAAAATTCTTAAATGGCTGTTTGATTTCCTATTGTATAATTTCCCATTATTATGTAAATGAAATTAAAATATGTTGTATGTATGCTGTTTCAGCGATTATCAAGTGGAAGTCAAAGAGAGATTCTCTAAATGCTTTTGCATATCTCTGCCATTGGCATTCTTCACATATCTACATAGCAAGAGTAGATGCAACCCAGCACACCACATATGTTTCTTCCTCGTTAGGATTGATGTTTGTTTATGTTTAATAATGGCTTAATTAAGTGATTGTATATAATAGATTAAGAACAGAGATTGATCTTTCAGCTTTAAGAACTTTTCTCTTTAAGCTTGTGTTTCCTGACTTCTATTGTTTTAAACATTTGTGGGTTTTTAAATGGTAATATACACTGATTCTCTATTTCTGTTACAGCAGCTGTTTATAATAAGCGTTCTCAGGTTCCATTACTGTGATAGGCCTCAATAAAATAGCAAGGGTTTATAAACCGGAATCTGTTTTCAGAATTGGACCAGCACTTAGAGATGTTGATGAATGAGCAAGCTGCAAGTTGTTGTTGTCACATATCTGATAATATGAATTCTTTTTCCCACCTATACTTAAAAGTGTGAATAATCTCTTTCAAAAAAACTGTACTTACCAAATAAAATGGAAATCACACATGTAAGTAGGTTGCTTTTTCAAAGAGGTTTAACAGTGAATAAAATGTCTTACTGCAGAGGTGATTTGGTTTAATCAGTATACTATTACATCTTTACTCCTACTTTTTCCCAACATACTAGAACTGAGTTTACTTTCTGGATAGAACTGCATCATAGAAAATAAGGGAGAAGAGTGTAATTACAGCCTGTAAGAGCTAACAAGTCTTTTGCCTTGAAGTATCAAATTAGTGATGTGTCGTCATCATTTCCAGCACAACTGAGAAGATCCAGCAAACTGTTTTGCTATTTTCTGAGACAAGCAACTTGAGGTTTTGTTGCAAGGTGCTAGGTCCAATGGACCAATAATCTGACAGAGTAATCTCAGCATTTCTATTTAGTCTTGTAACACGTGCACAAGACAGGGTGAAGCTTCAATCAAGTACATGTTGAACAGTAAAACCATGGGAATAGGAAAAATATGTGAGGCAATCTGTTGAATCAAAATAAAACCTTACAAAATTGGAAAATATCATTTGGCTTCTGATATGGAGTAGCTAAGATCTTTATCAGTAGTTTATTCCTGTTGATCATTTGTTAGCATACATTTCTCTAGATGCAAACTTTGAGGTTTTCTGTATCAAGGAGAACCTGCCATTGTAAATAAGCTTTAATTACGTCTAGAAGTAAAAGCTGCACCAAATGCCTTCAAGCTAGCCCTGTACCAGGGAGAATCGACAGCTCCTTGGATCTGGTGATGATCAGCATGAGTTAGTTGAGTGTTAAAGCTGATTACACTGAGAAGCCTGCAGTATGCCTGTGCATGCCTTACCCTGAGCCACAATGGAGGTACCAACTTGGTTACAGCTCTGATTTTGATAGAAGGATGTGCTTTTATACTTGCTGTTCTTAACAGATTCAAACCAGATGAGAGTTGAATTTCTTGTGCTAGCTTAATTTTTCATCTGGAGAGAATTTTTTAAGTGGGAAGGTATTTCTGTCTTTTCCACTTTACATGAAGTTTCTGAGAGCCATTATAGATCAAAATGAATTTTCCTCCCAGGCTCCGAAGCCTTCCTGATAAGGGAATAATCTGTGCGTTGGCTGAACTTTAGTCTTGGTGCCAACTACACTGAAAATTACATTTCACTGCAAGAATAATGTATGAAGAGTTCTCCTGATACTTTGTAGATCTCTGCACAAGCAGGACAATGGCATTTAAATGCTGTTTTATCTGTAAAGGGGCATTCACTCTGCAAACACGGTTGTGGGATGCATGCGTGCACCGCAGGAGCCTCACACTGCAGGTAACATGGCACAGCGGGAGTGGGAGTTTGCAGCCAGAAGCTTCTGTCTTTCCTGACATGCATATTGCAAAAAGCTGAGGACTCCTCTCTGGTATTGGATGCTATTGCTCTGTTGGGTGCTATAATGCACAGTATTAAAAAGTAATTAAAAGAGAACAGTATCCATTTGTTGAGCCCAGCAGACTGGTATGCCAAAGGGCAGCACCAGAAACACTAGCTTTCTGCATGGAGCTGTACAGCAAAGACTCGCAAGAGTTTGCAATTTCAGATAGCTATGAAAAATGGCATTTTCCTTTTAAATGGGAATGGAAGTGTTACTTCTGTTATTGAAGATTCAAAGGGCTAGCAATATTTTTTGGTTTTTGTATA